AAACTCAGAAGCCATTTTCTAGAATCCTGGAGGAAAAAAGCAGTACGAAAAGAGCCCTTTACTTTACACCTCAGGCAGTAAGCCTGCACCATCACTGCTCCTCAATCCACTGCTACAAAAAGGAAGATGCAGAGGAGTTCTGGATGAAGAAGAAAAATGTTTTGTTAATATCTATGGAACAGTGAGGAAGTGAAGGAAAACTGCAAGTTTTATTGCCAAAGACAGAACAGAAATGCCGCACCCAGAGAGATATTGCTTCAAAGACTACCTCTAGAGAGTTGGTTATCCAACTTATTTAGTATTCTGTGCAAACTCTGGCTTGCTTATTCAATTTATTAAATAACACAGATGTTTCAGAAGGAGAAAGAAGTATCTGACACCTCTACAGAGGCATGACTAATGGGCTATTATGACAGAAATTAAAGGGTAACCACTTGCAGTCTATAACAACTGACACCGCTACCATGCACTTCTTAGGGTTTCCGTTAATTACATAAAATTTAAGTTTCCAGCGAATTCAATTAAACCAAAGTAGGGCATCACATGGAAGGGAAAGTTGGTGAAGAATGACTTGCTAAAAAATGCATACTGCTGGGACACATAATGTTTTATGGTCAGGGTTTAATATTTCTTTCCCATTGGACTCTGATTTATCAGAGCTTCTTGGCAGACATGCAACCTTTAAAATCCTTTTCCTATCAGCATGCCCAACCAAAGTAGTAGAAAGTAACAAAAGATGTCTCGAATCCATAATTAAATCTGAAGGATAACAGGATGTTCATTTCAAGTAATTACTATTAATACCATGCCTCTTTATATAAAACTTTCAGATTGAATTGTAACTTCTTGAGGGTCAGGCCTGGGTCTTAGTATTCTTCCTAGATCACTGATTCGTACAGAACCAGGGACAGAGCAGCTGCCCAGGAATGTTTCCTAGATAAATAGATAAGTAAATGGATTTGAGAAGTTGGAGAATGATGGATAAAATAAGCCATGACTGCTTTCACCAAGCAAAGTAACAAACGATCCCTATGCATAATTGAGTTTGAAAACAACTTTTTCTCTATAGAAAAAGCAAATAAGCATATATAACAAAAACTCTGGCTTTAAAGTGAAGAAATTTGGACTCCATCCCTCTGTACCAGTTTGAATCTGGAAAACACTGAAAAAGAGAGACATGGATACTGTACTCATATCCAGACTTGATATTCACACAACATTTCCCACTGCACCTACAAGTTTAGATACAGTGCCTAGGAATATACTCCAGAACTATGGAAATGTTCAATAACTGCTCTTTTAGTTCTCCTATTCACTAGCAATTAGGTTAAGTCCTGTGAGCAGCTTACTGAGGCCGTGTGGTTTTTTAGCATACCTAGAGTTTGTCAACTGCATTTTAACTGGATTAGCTTTATAACAGTTTTATTTTTATTAAGTAACGGGCATTTTGTGTAACATGTTTAAATGATTGTCAAACGTTGCTATTCACATTATACAAAAACTGACAGATCTGTTGGTTGGCAGGAAACACTACCTTGTGAAATCTATATGCAGAGGTAGAAATATTGAGGTTACCCCACAGTGGAAATGTTCAAAAGCTGACACTTCCTTTAACCACTAAGATCCTACTGAGATACAAAGACTATGGAATATCACTTCAGAATTCTCAAAACCTGGCCCCAGAACAATTTTCTTCAGGGTAGAGAAAACATCAACCAGGGACCACCAAGCATTTTCTTTTTAGGTGTAAAAAAGTAATAAAGAGAAACTCAGTTTCACTGCCTCTAGGTTAGTGCCAGTATTATTGCAAGCAATAAAAGTAAAATAATGTGGCTTAAAAATAAGTGGACAAAATCAAAATGTGAAAAGTTGAAGGGAATCATCCAGCAGCTACTAAACAGAACAAATGGATCTCAGGTTTAAAATTCTTAGAATTCATTCTTAGATCTTGAGCATAATAAAAGGTCTTTGAAAAAATCATTGATAGTCTTCAGAAGAGAAATGAACAGATCTAAGACATTTGATCTACAATATCAATGATTTATCTATTTTACCTTTATAAACATGTTATCAATGTAATCTCAGTCTTCTCTTTACACCATCTACCATACAGTCCATAAATATTTACTGAGTAACTACTACTGTGAAAGCAGGTAGCATGCTAGAAGAGAGGGATTCTAACCTAGGTTCTAGAAGAGAAACAGGTAAATATATAATGTTTATAACACAAATACAATGAGATAAGAGTTTACAGGGACATATACAAAATATATCAGAAGAATATTGATTGATTGCAAAGTATTTTGTGTAGTTAGAATTAAAAACAATGCTGAAATAATGCTTTTGAACATTTTTCATCAATCTATATGCAAATTTCAGTGATCAGATTAAAATAATAACATTATTTACTAATAACATGAGTGTGATATAATTTGATTGTTATTTCAGCCTTCTGAGCACTTTTTCATTTGTCATTTTTTTTATTTAGCTCACTTAGTAAACTACAACTGTACTTTATAATGACCTTCTCCTAAAAATTACTCAATGACTGTTTTCAGTGCTTTGCAATTTATGCAGTTTCTCAATTTCTAAAAGTAAAATTGAGAAGTACTTCAGAGCAAAAATTTTAAAAAAGCAATTATTAACAATTTACAAATATGATTGGGCACTTCTTAAATAAGGCCATTAGACTAATATTAAAAATCATGAAGTGAATTGAGGCACTGAGGAACTGTACCATTTGGAGAATACACAGTAATATACAGAAGGGTTGTGGTGATGTAAAGGACAGGGGATTAATAACACAGCCATGGCCACAGGCAAACACTCCTGTGTCTTTTGCGCATAACACACCTGTTGTAAATAGTTCACAAACTTACTAAATAAAATGTATAGTATTGTCCCTGAAATTTTAAACATAAATTTCTTTCAAAAAGTATACAAAAAGTAAAGTAAATAAAATCTGTTTGTTTCATATTCATACTCCTTTATGTAATCTAGGCTTCAAGGTAAAACAGCTATTTTGTATGATGCTTCAAACAATCTTTACTGATCAAAGGTTTCTACCAAACTAATGGGAGCTTCTGACTTTTAACCCACTTAACATCCAAATACCAGGTATGTATCAAGGCAAAGGAAGGTGCCAAGTCCTGCCATGTGTAGGTATGTGTCTGCTCCCAGACTAAGACCCTGAGAGTAGAGGGCCACAGGGTACTTGGATTTGGTACCAGCCTAAAACTCTGGCTTTCTTTAGGAAGAAATACAAATTTCTAGTTTCTTTGGACCCATGAAAACCACACCACCTCCCTGAAGGCATAAATCAATCCAAAGTCACAATCCAACTGTGACAGACATAATTGTCCTCTACTTACCCTGAGATACTGAATGGGTATCAGGTAAAGGAAATCATCATAACATACATAGTCCTATCTGTCAGTTAGGCACTGACTCAATATCTCTGTATTATTTTCTACTCACTGATGTGAAATATACTTGCAAACATAGCTCTTTCTTCTACCAGCATAACTTGTTAAAAGTCATTTATAAACAGACATTGTTAAGTCTGCAGAACAATTATTAACATAGCTTACATAGCAATCAGGTGCCTATACACTGAGAACGAGTTTGCTGATGCCACACTGATCATTCCTCTTCCTCCTCCTTCTCCCTGTACTACACAAAATTCACCAACATCATGAAGGGATAAAGGGAAACCAGGGATAAAGGGATAAAGGAAAACCTAAGTAAAATAAAAACCAATGCACACTCAACGAGAGAAGTGTAGGGCTGTTGAACAATTTTTACTGAGGTAGCAAAGATGTCTGGGGTTTCAGAAATGGCACTGAAAAACTAAATCAAATTTAACTCATTTTCCAGTTCTTCCTCTGTTGCTTCATCCATTTTTCAAACCTCCCCAAAGGAAGGAGCTCCTTTTTATAAGATTGTGAAACCATTATATTTTATTACCAAGTAATGAGCTCAACAGCATTGACGCTCCTGAGCCTGAATTCTCCCTGCCTCACCCTCTAAGGCTAGCTCTCTTCCACAGGCAATGCAGAGGCTATGGGTTAGACAGAAGAGCAAGCCTGTGAGGGCTCAGGTATGGGGTAGGGATGGTGACTGTATACTCAACAGCAAACTTTTTTTAAAAGTTTGAAAATTTAATTTGCTTTCTAAACCCCATCAATATTGACTTCGATATTGACTCTGTTAAACAGCAGTGAAAAAATGACTTGATCAAAACCTTCTGTGAATCCTTCAAATACTCAAAACTGAAAATCTGTCCAAAGACTCATTTTCAAGCCCCCAACCTCTATTACAGATAAAGAAATATCAGAAAGCCCATGGGGAAACTAGTTATTCCGTGGTCTTATTCTAAAACATCAAATCAATTGGTATTTACTGAATATCTGCATAAGAGGTAACTTAGATTCTGCTTCGGTGAACTAGAAAATGTTATGCCTGTTTCTGTGAGAACTATGAGTATTCAGGAGACTTACCCCATCAGAGTCTCCCATTTTTGCCTTAAGAGGCAGCCATCGACCTACATGAGACAGGAGCCACACCTCCTCCAAGGAAGAGGGCCAGTTGAAATATCAATGTAAGATTTATCTACTAGGGTTTATTTTGCTTCAGAATGTGACCTATTACAAATAGAATCTGACCTACAGTTAATCATATAAATATGATTAGTTGGAAATACTGATAAGTGACACTCTGAAATCAGTGGTGTCAGAGAGGTACCAACTACTCATGACTAAATCCTAAAATTAAACTGTACATGCAAAGGAAACAATATAAAACACAGCAAAAAAAAAAAAAAAAAAAAAAAAAGAAATTATATAAAACAGAAAATCAAACACATGAGATTTTTCAAATTACTCCAAGAAAGCACTTATCAGATCACTTGCTGAATGATTAAGATGAAGAAAACTGAAAAGAGAAATAGCAACAGAGTATAAGGGAGACATTGAGTGATGCTCATTAAATCTTGATTATACCTGCCATGCTGTAAGGCAAGATGTGCACATCAAATGCCCACAAGGCTCAATCTTGACATCTTTGTCGTTCTCAGCACAAATTTTACAGAGCTGAAAAGTGGATCCCATTTCACAATATAATTCATATTGTTCCTGGAATTTGGAGGAGGGGGAAAAGGCAATGTTAATGTATTTCTAACATGAACTGGTACTATTGAATTTTCTCAAATACAATGACTTACAGTAAATGCCTCACACTTGATCTTGTGAGGATGTTACTACTTAAGACATGTTTTAAATTGGTAATCACAACTTGGTCGACAAAATCATTTTTTAAAACATTTGAGCTTGTATCAGCAATTGTATAAGCTTTGTAATACTTCAGACTACTTAATGTTTTGCACTGTTCCTTTAGGAAGGGATTTGTTTCAATAATGACTCAAAAGACAAAACTTACAGTTTTAAAAGAAAATATAAATAGCTTTAGTTTCTTTGTAAATCCCATATTCTCAACTAAATTCACTGTAAAATTGCAACTACACACACACATATATATATATAAAATATATATTACATACTTTTATTATTCTAACTGAACATTAAATTTTATTTCTACAATAACTTTACAAATTCTGGAACAGAAGAGAAACAGCATTTGCCAAGCCTTTTCTGCATGCTAGATACTGCGGTCCACATTTATTTTGTCATATAATCTCTAAAGCATAATAAGATACATTGAATTGGGAAAAAAAAAAAAAACACCTGAGGCTCAATAAGTTTAAATTATTTTCCTCAAATTCTATATTAAATTTCTAACTCTAAATTGCATACTGTTTTCCCAATCTAGCATGGTCAGGAAAACTAATCACTTCAGCAACCAAAAATTGTTTTATGAAATGTCTATTCTCTTGATTTACTAGTTTTGAACATTTTGGCATAGTAAAATTCTTGGGGTCTACATATTGAAAAGCTCTAGGTCACAAAGAAGACACAAATATATCAGTAAGTATAAAGAAAATATGAAAAAGAAGGGTTAAATGAGATAAAAGAAAATTATAGAAATAATTCATTTTAAAAAGGCAATGTTTTAGCCAATAAGTGCCTATTAGGTACCTGGCCCTGGGCAGGATAAATAAATGACAATATTTAGCCTGTAGTCTACTAAAAGATCTTATCATCTTGGTGGGAAAAAAAATTATATATCCACCTACATACAAAGATACAAACACAAGCACATGAAGTACCTTCTACCAAGAAGTAAGTATGTTTGACTGTATAATTTTTAAAGAAATTAAGAAAAAAGAGGACAATGGATCAAGATGAAAACTAAATAAATCTAAAGCAATTAAAATTAAACTATAAGTTGGGATGCCTGGCTGGCTTGGCTGGAAGAGCATCTGACTCTTGATCTCGGGGTTGTGAATCCAAGCCCCATGTTTGATGTAGAGATTACTTAAACAAAACTTTTTAAATAAATAAATAAATAAATAAATAAGTAAACAAATAAATAAAAAGTCACTGAAGTCTCTTAAATAATAAATAAGTATTTACATTGTTATGACATCTGAAGGAGCACTTTCCGATTATTAAAAAATTACAATAAGCTAAAATCACAGATGCAGCACTCAATGCAGCCTAAGGGGTAACTTATTCAAATATTTAAGGATGATGTAATGATACTACTCATGAATATATATTTTAAACAGTGGCCTTATAAAGAGGAACTATCTTTTGTGAGTGGCTTTTACATGTATTAGAACATACAGAATCATTTACATAAGAAATAATGCCAATTATACATTAAATTTAAAAAACTGCCCATTGACTGTACATACGTCAACAAATGTTTCACATAATAATACCAAGACCACTGGGACTAAATCTAGAGAACTGGAAATAAAATAAAATACTATCTCTTGTCTTCCCCAAAACTGTAATTTCTTATTTTTATTAGATTTTTTTTTACTTACAAAGCACAATATATCTAAATTATAAAATATTTTAAAACTAGATTACATATAAAATAAAATACTCAGTTTTTTCTCTTTAATCTTCTCCCTAATTCCCCAAACCTTCCTACTCCTCAGTTAAGTACTGTTACCAGTTTGGTAGGTTTTAATTTTTATTTTTAAAAAGTATGTTCATATATGGTAATTTTCTTCTTTCTTTCCCGAAATTGAACTTATGTAATGTAACTTTACAAAATGAAATGTTATATAATCAAACTTTACAGTAATGAGATGCTTTATATAATAAAGATGCTGAATTTCCCATGTGAACATATAGAGCTGCCTTCCTCCTGTTAATGACTTTAGTATAATGCAGTATGAACGTACTAGGGTTTACTTAACCTACGATTAAATAGTTTGGTACTTATAATTTTTCATTTTCAGGAAAATTGCTAAAGTGAATATCCCGATATACAGATGTTTCTGTGTATGTGTGAGTGGTATATACAGAATCCAGAGTCAAAAATGTTTTTAGATTTTGATTAACTATTGACTTTCACCCTCAAGAAAGGCTTTATAACCAAGTTACACTCCTATTCAATTTATGAGATTGCCAACAATGGGCTTATAAGAATATAATTAGGACCTTCAGTAAGTTTCAATTATACATTTGACTCTAAAAGCTAATGGATATTATTATTATTCTAATCTTCCTTGGAATTTTTCAATCTATAGCTCTCTCCTAATATCTATCTCCCTACTTATGGGTTTATCTATGTCTGCATGAATGCCAATATTATACTGGAAACAAGAATATTAACAACAGACATTTTTATCCAAAAAATGGAGAAAGTATTTTTTTTCAAATACTCTTAAAATTCCTGTAAGTATCTTTTGCATAAAATACCAATACAAAATTTAAGCTACAGTAAAATACAATGCTTTTTATTTCAAAAATATTAGATACATAATTATGAATGCATTACCAGAAATTGTCCTTACCTGGGTAACTTTTATATGATCATGTGGTGTAGGTTCACATAATCCAGTTAAATCAGGATTATAGCTCCTCCCATCAGGATAAAGATAGCTGAATTATAAACAGAAACTTTATTATCATAAACATACAATTTTTAATTGCATTTAAGAGTATTTAATCAGATTCTTCTATATTCAAACCCACATGTTGATGTTTTTTTTTTATGTAACTTATATCAAGAACGTTTGCTATTGTTTCCATAATAATACAAGTTACTTTTAATGCATTTAAAATCTAGAAATTATTTTCATATAAGAAATACAGGATGAACATGGACTCAGCCACTAAGCAACCATTTTCAATTAAATACTTTTACTGTATGTCTTTTAGGTAAATTAAAAATTTACTTTTCTGGTCACTCATGGTCTATTCCAAAATACTTTGAATGCACACCTATTTGCAATGATTGTGTCTTTTCATGTGAAGCACAGTTGATGTGAACTGCTTCATTTTACACCATGCTTAATAACTTGAGGCAAAAATGGAATTAAACCCACAGGTTTCCTACAAAAGTTATGCCAACGCCTCTAAGATGTTACTGTTTTTCCAGTTTCTTATCCTCTGTCTTTCCATTTAAACTTTCATTCACTCCCCCCCCCCCACACAAGTCTATGGACACAAAGCAACACACTCACACCTATACCCATATTTAAAGAAATTAGAAAATGCTACAATTATATTTCATTTACTTCAAATCACGCTACAAAGAATCATTTATAAATATGAAGCTCCATTATTAATTTTTTTTTTTTTTTTTTAAGAAAGAGCATGTGCCCACACAGGGGAGGCACAGAGACACAGGGAGAGAGAAAACCCCAATCAGGGCTTACACTGTCAGTGCAGAGCCCAACATGGGGCTTGATCCCACGAACCATGAGATCATGACCTGAGCCAAAATCCAGTCACACACTTAACCGAGTGAGCCACCAAGGTGCCCTGAGGTTCCAGTATTACAGAGAATTAAAACTAAAAATTATAGTAATAATGCCATCTTTTTGTGCTAAGAGTTTTTATTCATTCAGACATTCATTTAAAAATGAATTTTATTGGGGCACCTGAGTGGCTCAGTCAGTTAAGTGCCAGACTTCGGCTCAGGTCACGATCTCACGGTTCCTGAGCTCCAGTCCCACATCAGGCTCTGTACTGACAGCTCGCCTGTTTCAGATTCTGTGTCTCCCTCTCTCTCTGCCCCTCCCCTGCTTGTGCTCTCTCTCTCAAAAATAAATAAACATTAAACTTCAAAAATAAAAAAAATAAAAATGAATTGTATTGTGTTCGTAAATATTTATTTTAGATTTTAAAAAACGGTAACATTACTGTTGAATTATGTCCACTGATTAAGTTATAGTTAATTTTGTTTAGGAGCTATTCTAACTGGCTTGAATGAAAAATTAAGAATGTAATACTACTGCAGTCAATATTTTAAGGGGAAAAACGATACTAAATCTATTCTGTAAGTAACAAAAAATATTTATCCTTAGTCTGTAAATATGTTCATAAATGTTAAAATGTACTGGGTAAAACTAGGAAAAAAAATTGAACTAAGATGATAGACAATTCTCCTACAGTAAGGAACAGATCAATGAGATTTTTTTTTTCTTACAATTTAGAAAAAGGAGTTGACTATATCTGTAATGACAAATTTAGAGTGTTACCACAGGGTGGATTAAAATTCTACAATTATTAAATGAAGAGCCCTAAGCAAAAGTTGATAAGTAGCTTTCTTGTTATATCCTAAAATGGGGCCAGTTTTAAAATTATGGCATAACATTTTGCTCATCATCACACTTATAAAACATGTATGAAGAATTCAAAACTGCAAGATTATAAAAATGACAATAAGGTTGCTAGAGGAAAGGTTAAAAGGTTCTATTTAAGGTGTAAGGGGCAATTCAGTGATTACTGTCCTCATTAGACAAGGGTGCTACTGATGAGACCCTCTCAATGGCAAGAAAGGAATAAAGAATCTTGGCTGGTTATCAAAGTAAACTTCTTTACTACCTGTGTCACACTATATTGGATTAACTATAAGGAAGGACAGCCGACCATGATACTGGCTGTAATAACCTGTGTTTTACTGATCTTAGGGGGGGGAAACCCTAACATAATTATCTATTTTAATGTAATTTATCACTAAAGTTCAAATCCAATTAATTAAATGCCTCTGAAGGGGTGCTTGCTTGTGTGTGTGTGTAAATATTGACAACTGATATGCGTAGGACCTCAGAGGCTAAACACTGATTACAACATTATAACTTGTGATTTTTTTATTGGCTTTTAAAAAATAGAAGGCATTATAAACGATATGAATAAGCAGTATCAAAATTACTAAATTTACAGATTTACCCACTCGTAACTTCTATATATACATAAAGTAAAACTTTACAGCACATTTTCTTAAAAACAATATCCTATCATCAGTGAATCAAAATCTATGAAATTTATGATAATTAAAAAAATAGAAATACACACTTGGTACCAGTTTGCCCTACAATTCTCATGTAACTATTTCTTGAAAGCTCATAACTTATAAAAATGCATTTTTTCCTTCACATATATCCCACCACTTTTTCTTTCTTTTTATTTTAGAAAAGGTATAACCTAAATTATTTGCTTTTTGCTAACTCTGCTGGACTTTTCCTGTTAGGTTTCTATCACAGTCTGTGCTATAGAAAATAAGGGAATATCTGTCTCTAAGTTACTTAGCAAGAGCAAAGGGAAAGAAAAGCGAGCATGACGATGTGACAATAGAAAAAAGTAGAAAATAGAACAGAAGGCATATTGATTAAAATAACTAAAATGAAAGAAAAATATTTACTATGAAGGCACCTATCAGGTTGTCTACAATTTGTGGAGGAAAAAAGGCATTGTTACTGTTAAAAAAAAAAAAGGAAAACTTATTTTTAAACTTTAAAAAAGCATAGCTTAAGGTAAACTGAATTCAGCTCCAACATATAATTCTGTAGCAAGGATTTAATATTAGAAGAAAGACACAAAGACAAAAGGAAGGGAGGAGGTGAGAAAAGAAGAAACAGAAAATCTGTTAGTACTGGTCAAAAAGTAAAACTAGCAGTTTGAGGGGTACATGAAGCAACAGAAGTCAGTTATTTTATTTTATTATTTTTTTTCTTAAGTAGTTTATTGTCAAGTTGGTTTCCATATAACACCCAGTGCTCATCCCTACAAGTGCCTCCTCCATGCCCACCACCGCCCTTCCCCTCTCTCCCACCTCCATCAGCCCTCAGTTTGTTCTCAGCATTCAAGAGTCTCTCAGGGTTTGCCGCCCTCTCTCTACCCGACTATTTTTCTCCTCTCCTCCCCCATGGTCCTCTGTTAAGTTTCTCCTAATCCACCTATACGTGCAAACATATGGTATCTGTCCTTCCCTGCCTGACTTATTTAGCTCAGCTTAACACCCTTGAGTTCTATCCACATTGCTACAAGTGGCCAGATTTCATTCCTTCTCATTGCCAAGTAGTATTCTATTGTATAGATAAACCACATCTTCTTGATCCATTCGTCCGTTGATGGACACTTAGGCTCCTTCCATGTTTTGGCTATTGTTGAGAGTGCTGCTATGAACATTGGGGTACATATGCCCCTATGCATCAGCACTCCTATATCCCTTGGGTAAATTCCTAGCAGTGCTAACGCTGGGTCATAGCGGAGTTCTATTGTTAATTTTTTGAGGGACCTCCACACTGTTTTCCGAAGTCAGTTATTTTAAAGAATTATCTTTTTATAAGTTTTTTCATCCATTCTAAACTACTGTTAAGTCCTTTTTTTCCTGTGTGAGAAACAAACTCATATTGTAATTTGATGTTGGAATTTACCAGCTATAAAATATAGTTTAATTCAATCGGTTACCTTAAAATGAGTATTTTAAGAGATGAACAATAAAAACTAAGGAGTACCCATTCCTTAATTTTGAAAAAACAAAATAAAACAAAACAGCCAGATCATCAGACTATCTTTTCTCTTCATTGCAAAGCAGCGTCTATCTTTCAAATTGGTGTATAAGCACACTGACTCCCATTTCTCATACTCACAATCCTTCCCTGCTGCCATCAATCAGGGCTTGAAATAAGGGCTTGTTATGTGGTATGGTCTGTAAGATATTGCCATCTCCTGTCACATAGCCGATGGCCCACTGTCCCAATCTAGTACAGCTTAACCGGAAAATGTAGCTGTAAAACATGAAAACAATGATGTTTAGTCACGTTCAGAATGTATGCTAACTATTAAACAAATCTGTTAGAATTTTTTAAAGTCAAAGAATAAACGGAATAATTTAGAATATCTAAAATAAGTTTCTATCTTCTTATTTTAACCTCGCTGTCCTTCTCCATTTATTGATGTGTGACTCCATTCACTGATCTGCATAAGAAGTGCTAATAATAATTACATTTAAATACCTCCAGGGCTATAGGACAAAAGAACTGAAGTTGATGTACTTGAGTATCAAAGGATCTACTGCCATCCCAATCAGCAGGTGCCCTAAATGAAACAGCTGATGACATGAAACAGCTAGCACATGAATCATGTTTGGAAGGTTAAAAACAAAACAAAACAAAAGTAACAATTTAATTTGTTCAAAAAGTAACAACTTAATTTGTTCACCTCAGACAGAAATTAAGTCAGTTTCTACTGTGTAATTCAATATATTACTTTGAAATTTTAAAACTAATCATTTTAGTTGTTAATGACTTGTCTGAAAATAACAACTTTTCTTTCAAGTGTTTCAGCCATTCACCCTTAAATGAAATATCGAAAGTGCCAAACTATATTAATGAGAAGGCAAACTAGATTAAGTTCATGACTGCCATCTAACCCTGTCCAGTTCAATGTCTTGCAAGAGGAAGGCAAAATAGTTGAAAAATATAAATCAAATTAATGATAAGGAGACATTGATTTGCTTTTAAATTCATTGTTATTTACTAATATAGCTATCTACTTACTTTATTTTAGATTGGTTATTTTTAAGTGTATTGGGCTCAATCATGCCATCATGATAACCATTTCTGGATTGTATAACCCCTTAAGCAGCTCAAAAGTAGGTCAACAATCTGCTATATTTGAGTACCCTGATTGCTATACGTACATGACAGAAATTCCTCTCTCTTAATAAACATTAGTTACTGATGAACCAAGTACTATAAAAATAACTGTACAGGATACTTTAACATATATAACAGCTATACAGTCATTGAATCTAATTAACTTATACACTTAGTACTGAAATGTAGTTTCATTTTCAAAGAAAACTGGGTTCTTAAAGAGAGGAAGAAGTTGTGGTTTTAAATACGAAGAACTTCATACTTGTTTTAGAACCTTTGGAAAGGACTCTTCAAGAAAGTCCAAAAACATATTCTCCTAGAGAGCCTGAAAATAGAATATCAACCTGCCAATTAATGGAATCTTTAATCAGAATCATAGACAAAATAACTGCACACAGACTATGGCAGTCAGTTAGATCCCAAAAAAAGCAAAACCTGAGAGACTCAAATATCCTTGGAATAGGTCCCACTATTTTCTATACCATGAAGCCAAAGAGAAATACTTTCCAAGAGGAAGTAACAGTTTAACAGGTATTCTGCAAACAAGTATTTATCAAAATTATTTTATTTGTTCACTGAGTTCTCCTAAACTTTACATTTTAAATACCACATCCCACTTTACACGTAACAATTTACCACAGACTGACCATTTCATCTTTGCTTAAAGACTAGAAGAATAAATTGTTACAGGGCAAGTTGGGAAGTAAAGGAAGAGATTCTTTTGGAGAGCACTGTCCTTTTATTGAGAGAACTATTCTAATAGTGATGAGGCCTGGCTTTTGCTCAGTGTTCTCTCCCAACATTATTTATCTCTGTGACCTTAAACAAGAACATAAAAGGGACTCGATTTCTTAATTTCCCAAGTAACCTCTGTGTTAAATTTGTACGATTGTGTAATTCTAAACATAACACATCTTTCAAATCGTACTCCAAGAACAAGGAGATACTTTGATACCAATCTACGGAGTAGAAGTTATGGAAAAATTTGGTTATGAGAGATCCTTGACCAAAACAGAATGACTCATCTAAGCCACCACCAACATCCCAATGAGAACCAACTCTCCTTAGTCTAAACAGAAGACTTCAACAGGAACTAAACTGTTTTCTGTTCTCCCTGTCTTCTTTTTATGTACATATAAATGCTTGAAAATGTAAAAAAGATGGAAATTTTCATTATGGCAGAGAAAAGGGAATCAACAGCACTGGCTTGTACTATAAACTAGCTTGTTAAAGGACAAACACCATTTCCATTACAAATCAGATGAAAATGGTATTAAAAGAAAAATGTAGCCTTGAAAAAACAACGAAATTCATTCCTACAATGAAATGACCCCGATATGGAAATCCGTGTACTCATGGAAGTTGGAATGGCATCTCCCACTAAAATGTGAGTGTGAGGACAGGTCTTCACTATCACTGCTGCCACAGCCAGCTCACTGCTTTCCACAGTGCAAATGCCTACTATGTACCTCATGCATTTCTAAATGGGACATGGGGAAAATGCGTGTACCAGAGACAGATGTTTTGATCCCAGATTTGTCATTAATAAAGTATGATTTCTCATCCAAAGCCACAGGGACTGACCAGTCAATCTCTGTGAGTTTTACCCAGTTTCATCATCTGGAAAATAAAACATAAATTCTGAAGCTATAAAAAAGCATAAGGTATTATGGGAGAAATTCTTAAGGACATGACATTGGTTGATTTTAACGATCGACTTATATGTGTTTATATACATATATGTAAACATATGTATATTTATAGTTGTATGTATTTATATATCATTATGTGTTTATCATTGAACCAAATTAAATACCTTGAAAAATACTCTAAAATAATGAACATGAAACTGATTTACTTTGTCTTTAGCATAATATTTAAGTATTCAAATATACACATACAATTTCATACACAAACACAGGTGTCATGAATACAGACAATATGCTAATACCCTACTCTGATTTGAAAAACCAGAGCTTGGAGACTTAATGAAAGTTTCAGTCTATCAAATTATATGGTACCATAGCCTCTTTTACTTTATGAATACAGTTTCAGTACCAGCACAACAAATCAGTTTAAAGGATACAAGTAAGAAGTGCCATGAGCTCTACCAGCATTTCCTCCTTCCCCACCCACATGGGTGTTACTGATTTCCCTAAGAATGAACCAGAGAGAGCTCTTTATCATTAGATATGCTTCATAATATTACTGCTAAAGAGTCTTACCTTCCGGGTTTGGTGCTATATTTCTGTAGTCGTGCTTTAACTTCATCATATGTGAGAAATGCCATGTAACCTGGATGTGTTACAGCTAAGAAATTCCAATTCCGTAAAATAGAGCCCCAAGGCTGAAAATATGAATAAATGAAAAGATATTATCTAAATAATATTAAGTAGCAATTATATACCAACCCATCATTTAATATAGTTACTGAAATCTCCTGGATATTTTTAAGTGAACATGAGCTCATGTGGCTCAGGTCAACTTTCAATGACTAACAGCAAACATGTAATACCTTATTCTCTTTTGGAGAAATATAAGGCATAAAGTAGGATAGAACACAGAGAACAAAAACGGAAAAACACGTAATTTCTTCACAAATTCTATTCCCAATACAGCATTTGTGATCATCTTGAAACCTAAAAACACATCCAATCTTCTGCTTAAAACCCTCTATCTTTGAGTAAAAGCCAAGGTCCTTATAAATGGTCTAGAAGGACTTCACAGGATTGATATCCAGATCCCTTGCTGTGCCTATCTGTCACGACTCCCTCACTTTCTACCTCTTCTCCAGGCACCCTGGCTTCTTTGTAGCTGGTGTGAACACAAAGGTACTCTTCTCCCTCAGAGGTTTTACATTTCCTGATTCCTCTACCAGAATTCTTTCTCCAAATACTTAAGTGATTCTTCTCCAATGTTACCTCTACAATGAAACCTTCTCAGACCACTGTATTTAAAACTGTTAACTCTTATCACATTTCTTATCTCCCTTTGCATCTGTTTTGATCACTACTGTATCTTTAAGGTATCTAATTATACAGAACAAGAAGCCATACCATGGAATGTAAGTGATTTGGCAAAGGCCACATATTAAGCATAAGCTACATAAGAGTAGAGGACATGCAGGTCTTGTTTACCAAGGGGATACTACAATGAATGTAGGATCAGAACATAGTGACCAGGAAGGCATAACTGTTGTTGAAAAGTTCCTCTAGCTGGTGACGTGTCTGAAAGTCCTTGACCCCTAACCTACCATTCTTTCTATGGTAACAGACTGGGGTGCTCACATCTGCCTAATTCTTACACATTACAAAAGGTTTATGATTTAGCAGTCAGTAAATTAAAAATGTTTCACAGAAATACACGAATGCACACACACAGAATTTTTACAATTCTTTAATCTGATTAGCTATCCCTCCAGTTACCATGGCAAGAGAAAAAAAGGCAGTCAGTGATAGACAATTTTGCTTGAGGGTGTGAATGAATCATCTCTGCCACATTTTTAAGGCTGAAGCTACATTTATTCCAAGGACTTGGCGGCATACACTATCTTGTGTGCCAGATTATTAACTCATATCTTCTACATGAAAGAAAAAAAAGGTATCTTATGTTGCCAAGTGAAAGTTGTTGAAATTGGTAGAGGGCTCCTAGCTTTTGTTTGTTTTGAGACTTGTTCCTCATTATTGTTAAGCAAGTTTCAGATTTACAAGGTGGAATTCTTCAAGGATTATCTCTTGATATGACGATAACAAGGGAAAGAATGATCTAGTAATGAAAAGTTTTTTAACCTATTCTGACATAACAAGAAAAATCTTCAGGGTACTTCCCTATCATACTAAAATATCTAACTGGCCAAAAAGGAGCTCTGGAGAACACTACTATCAGAGTTTCTGTGTACTTGGAACAAAACAAAACAAAACATGTTTCTAATTTTCTTCTAAAATCATGACTAAAAATTGCATAAATAATACTTGGAAGAATATCACACTATTTTTTAAAAAACAGAAATAACTGCTAGTATAGGCACTGGGTTTAGTTTTGTTTTGTTCTACTTCCAATCTACAAAGGACAAGGATAGAGAGAATATAAAATATTTGGATCACTTCCATTAAAGTCTACAAAAATTAATGGAAGAGTCATTACAAAGACGCTAAACTTTACGAGGAGCCAATGCACAGATCAGAATACAGGTGAAAAAAAATGAAATTGGCATTTTCAGCCAATAGCTACAGTATTAAGCAACCATTTCTTAGTACAAATCCACAGGGCCAGCTTCTAACTACAAAAATATTTTTGTAATAGAAAGAGTCTGTGTACTGTTTTTCTTGTGAATGCAACCCACAGTCAGAACACATGGTAGTTATGTGTTGTTGTTGTTGGTTTTTTTTTTAGTATCCTGCCAACTAATGGCTTAAAGAAGGCAAAATAAAATACTTTGGAGAATAAGAATTATTTTTACAGTTTGTTTTTAGATTAAAGGAAATGTTTTCACAACCAACACAAAATGTACAGATTCTTAAATGATTACAGAAATTAGTTGAATTAAGGAAGCTACCCCCCTCCATTCTTCCAAAATGCTACTATTTTCAAGAACAGCTGTCGGCTGACTTACAACTTATATTGGAAGAGGGACCTGGATTGGTCTGTCACTCTCTTACTTCTTGCTATAATGGATGACTTTCCTCTTCTTTTGCTCCCTACTCCATTGATGCTATATATTCCATAGTCATGAGTATATTCCTCCAAATCACACAATCCTTATCCCACCACCCCTCAAATTTACTGTCCCATTTCTCAGCAACCCAATCTTCTCTAGTAGTGGGGAAATAGAAGAAGGGGCAGTTGCCCCGGGGAGAGGGAAGAGAGAGGCAAAATCCCTCTATTTCCATTCCAGGACTTTAGTACCTGCCAATCCTAGCATCTCTGAACTTCCTGGAGAGGAGGAAGAGAAGATTATAGGCAGAAGAAAGAAGAAATGAGGAAGGTCCCACTGTAAGATCATTCCAACAACTTCCTGGCATTTATTTACGTGTTGTCAGAATATCAGGATAAGGGAAGAGTGGGAAGAGTATAACTAGTATCCAGATTTACATTCTTTTCTCCCTTTCTTCTTCCGCTTCCTGGGCAATTCTCCTAGTCCCGGCTGACGACTTCTTCAAACCCTAATGCTAGTTCTCTATGTCAAATCCCAATCTGGAGCATGTACCTTACCTACTTTCAGATCCCATTCTGCTAAATATCACACTCCCAACAATTCAGATATTAGAATTCACTGCTAATTAGCCACTGCCATTATCACTGCAGAAGAATATATGTTCATGCAGGTACATTACTCACAAAACATATATTTTGCATATAGAATGTGTAATTATTAGTTAAAAAGCTGTTAGTTAAGTTTTAAAGTTGTATACAATGAAAGACCAGTAAAAGTTCATATGTCTACTTTTCTATTCGTAGAAAATTCATAGAATGAATTTTATAATATTTTAAGGGACATGTACTAGTTACAGCATATGAGTAATGAAACCACAAGAAGTGAAAAGTCACAGAAATATACAGGAGGTAACAAGAGTTCTTTAGCTACTTCTGTAATTATGTGTTTTAAAAGAGACTAGACATTTTTGCTCCATAGATATTTTTTGGTTATGTTATCTAAAACTTTTCACAGTAACTCTATTTAAATAAAGACTCCTTTCCTCTCCCATCCCAGTAAGCATAAATAAGATACACATAATTTAGAGTATTAAGATTACCTGTACTCTTTTAAAGCAAAACAGCTTATGAGAAAATATGTACACATATTAAATAGCAGTTTGGGTAAGTGTTTAACTAACATTAAGGTGCCCTCATAACTTTAACATATAACTGAGGCATTCGAGCATTTAACATCCACACTAAAAAGTCGTCCAGGCTCCCTACAAAGAACACACTCTTTCTTGAATGAACAGTTAGGTTTAATGTAGGAAAATCATCTTTGTTCTCTTCCTTCAGGAAGACAAGGGAAGAAACAAAGCTTCTACTACTTCAAATGTCTTTGTTGCATCATGTTAAATAAAAAATTTGTAAAACTATCAGAAATCTTTAAAGAAAGAAGAGGTTCTGTTATAAAATGATCAGTATCGTGGAGCACCATCTTTTTATAAAATGTACCTTAAAATCATTTTAAAATGTAAGCTAACAGCCTATACAGGCATACCTCATTTTATTGTGCTTTGCTTTACTGTACTTCGAAGATACTGTGTTGTGTTTTTGTGGGGTTTTTTTGTTTGCTTTCCAATTGAAGGTTTGTGGCAATCCTATATTGAGCAAGTCTATCATGGTACACAGCATTTGTTCACTTCAGGTCTGTCATATTTTGGTAATTCTTAAAATATTTCAGATATTTAAATCATTATTCTACTTGTTACAGTGAATCTGTGATCAGTGATCTTTGATGTTACTACTGTGATTTTGAGGGTATCATAAACCACACCCATAAAAGATATCAAATGTAACCCATAAATGTGTGTTCTGACTTCTCAACTAACCAGCCATTCCTCCATCTCCCTCCCTGTCCTCTGGCCTCCCTATTCCCCAAGATCCAACAGTATTGAAATTAGGGCAGTTAATAACCCTGTAATGGCCTCAAAGTGTTAAAATGAAATAAAGAGAGTCACACATCTCTCCCTTTAAATCAAAAGCTAGAAATAATCATGCTGAATGAGAAAGGCATGTCGAAAGGCAACACAGACTGAAAGGTAGGCCTCCCGCACCAAATGGTTTGCCAAGTAGTGAAAAGTTCTTGAAGGAAATTAAAAGTGCAATTCTAGAAAATACATTAATAATAAGAAAGCAAAAGTGGCTGACTGCTGATATGATGCATATTTTAGTCGTCTACATAGAAGATCAAACGAGCCACAACCCTCCCTTAAGCCAAAGCCTAATCTAGAGCAGGGTTCAGTTCTAACTCTCTTCAATTCTAGGAAGGCTGAGAGAAGTGGGAAAGCTGCAAAAGAAATGCTTGAAGCTAGCAGAGAGATCAGTTCATCAGGTTTAAGGAAAGAAGCCATCTCTGTAATACAAAAGTGCAAGGTGAAATAGCAAGTGCCAATTGATATAAAAACTGCAGCAAGTTACCCAGAAGATCTAAGACAATTAACGAAGGTGGCTACACTAAACAAGAGAGTTTTCAATGGAGATGAAGTGTTCTTTTATTGGAAGAAGATGACATCTAGGACTTTCATAGCTAGAGAGAAGTTAGTGTTTGGTTTCAAAGCTTCAAAGGACAGGGTCCTCTCTTGTTAGGGGCTAACACGGCTGGTGACTTAAGCTGAAGTCAGTGCTCATATACTATTCTGAAAATTCTAGGGTCCTTCAGAATTATGCTAAATCTACTCTGCCTGTGCTCTAGCAATGGAATAACAAAGCCTGAGGACAACACATCTGTTTACAATATGGTTTACTGAATATTTTCAGCCCACTGTTCAGCCAACTTCTCAAGGAAAAAAGTTCCCTTTCAAAACATTACAGCTATTGTTAAGGTACTTGGTCACCCAATAACTGTGACGGAGATGTACAATGAGATTAATGTTGTTTTCATTCCTGCTAACACACATCCATCCTGTAGCCTATGGATCAAGGAGTAATTTCAACTTTCAAGTCTTTGTTTTTAAAAAAAATACATTTTGTAAGGCTATAGCTAACATAGATTCCACTGATGGATCTGGGCAACATTCACTGAAAACCTTCTGGAACGGGTTCACCATCTAGAATGCCATTAAGAACATTTGTGACTTATGGGAATAGGTCAAAGTATCACCATGAACGGGAGTTTGGAAGAAGTTAATTACAATCAACAAGGATGACTTTGAGGGGTTCAAAATTCCAATGGAGGAAGTACCTGCAGATGTGATGGAAACAGAAGGAGAACTAGAACCAGAAGTGGAGCCTAAAGAGGGGGCTGAATTGCTACAATGTCATTATACAACTTTAATGGAAGAGGAGCTGCTCCTTAGGAATGCGGGAAGAAAATGGTTTCTTACATAGACTCTACCCCTGTGAAGAGGCTGTGAAGATTGTTGAAATGAAACCAATGGTGAGAATATTAGTTGATAAAAGAGCGGGAGAATTTGTGAGGACTGACTCCAATTTTGAAAGAAGTCCTGTGAGTAAAATGCTTTCAAACAGTAGCATATGCTACAGAGAAATTGTTCATGAAAGGGAGAGTCAATGAGTGCAGCAAACTTCATTGTTATCTTATTTAAGAAATTGCCACAGCCAGCCCAGCCTTCAGCAACCACCATTTTGATCAGCCAGCGGCCATCAACATCGAGGCCAAGACCCTCCACCAACAAACAGATTATGACTCACTGAAAGCTCAGATGATAGTTAGCATTTTTTAGCAATCAAATATTTTCTAATTAAAGTATATACATTGCTTTTTAAAGACATGATGCTATCACACGTGCAATAGACTACCATGTAGGGTATACATAACTTATATGCGCTAGGAAACCAAAAGAATATTTTGACTTGCTTTATTGTGATATTCACTTTATTGCACTGGTTTGGAACTGAACCTGAAGCATCTCCAAGTTGTGCCTGTATATACCAAGGGAATAATCATGAAACTAATGTGAACTGAAGATATGCAAACGCAAAGTTTCTGCAATCATGTATCTAATTTCGTATCCTATACACCTAGGTAGAATTATGATCTGAAAGTTGTAATAAAAACAATGTATTCTATAAGTATTGTTGACAAGAGTTAATTTGCCTTCTGTTAACAGGTTCTTTTATAAATTAAAAGTTAATCCCACACAATTTTATTTTCTTACATAAATCAGTCACCAGATCCTTGCAAACTAGTGCCAAACAGAATCATAAATCAGAGAAGCAAAATTCTTATAACATAGGAAACATGAAAACCAATATTATACTCCAGCATTTGTTGAAAGCATGTTTCAAACAAATAAATCTTCCTGAGACAGAAATAATAAAAAATTCCATCAGGATACAACCAAGTGTGTTTTGGGATTCTTTCATTTTGTGACTACTTGAATTGAACACCATAAGTGATATACAATTTAGTGGCATAGTCAAATTCAAAACACAAATTTCAAGTCTTCATGTTTAGTGTAATTCCATGGAGATATACAAAAGAATAAAATGATAGCAAACAGCTTACATCATTTAATGATACCGGTTTCTGTAAAGCTATGTGAAGACAATTACAAAGGACAGATTAAAAAAGAAAAAATAAACAGGACAAGAAGGTTAATGTCATAGTCATACATATTAGAAAACAGGACATAAACCCCACGAAACCTAAATTTCCAAAACAGGAATTTTTTAAAGTAATGACATACTATTTTGATGAAAATATTACAGAGCAACTGAAAATCAAGAATTATATTGATGAAAAAGATTTACGGACATGAAAATAATTTATAACATATGGCTAAATGAGCAAACAATATACACCACAGGGATCACCTATACAGAACATGATAAATTCACTATTTACTGTGAAGTTTATTATTTCCCTTCTCACCTAATGAACACAGGACACAAAGCAGAAAAGTTGGGATAAAACCTCAGCATACACCCACCCGTAAAATTTTCATTCTGACAGTTACTGGGCTAAAAAGACAAAGTAAAGTGAGAGACTAAATAGGAAATTTAAAACAAAGCTCCTTTGCATGCATCTTCTCAAAGCTAACAGGCAATCACCAGCCTCCTAACACCTGAGGCTCCGAACTTTAAACCCTAAGCTTATAGCAATGACCAAAACCTTATGTCAGCGACTTCAAAATTATATACTACCAAAAAATGAGACTGTTTCTCACATGCTTGTATGTGTGAGAGAGATGTACTCACACATGTGCACACGAACGAACATATGCACACCACATGCACGCATATGACGGAAATCAGGAGGGAGGAAAGGATTCAGCAAATAGAAATCTTACCTGAAAGAGTCTCGTAAAAATATCAAATTCAAAAACTGAAATGTAATCATTACAAGTTAAATCAATTGTCGATTTCAGAGCCATCGCCTCCAGGCCGGAGCTAATTTGATGAACCTCATGAAGGCACTGTCTGAATACTTTCCATGGTACGATAGTTCTGTGTCAGAAAAAAAAAAAAAAGTAATTGAATCAAGTGTCATTTAAGACATACCTTCCACTGAAACAGCAGAATTCAATCATAACATTATTATAATCAACTGCATTTGTGCTAAAGGACAAATAGTCGACAAAAGAGACAAATAGGTGTTCATAATTCAGAACACATGTAATGGGTTTTGCTAACTGGATTGTTTTCCATTTGCTAAGAATGTGACAAAACATCTAAGTCAATTTCTCTCTCAAACAATCCTTGGATATCAACATATTTCTAAAAATACATCCATAAGAAGGGATTAGGTCAAAGTCCTGTGTGTCTTACCTCTTGTGTATATAAGATCTTTTGACTGCATCAAGTTAATTTTTCCCCTCTATTTCCTTAAAATAACAATAAAACTATGGGCTCATATAATAGAAATTATGTATATATGGCACAAAAGAGTAATTTATAGCCACCATTTGAGAAAGCTCATGTGGAAAGTCATGAAGACATTTTAGTCATTACTTCCTTGTATTCTGCAGATAAACAGTACATGCTATTTAACCTTTCGTATTAATACAAAGGAAAATTTTAATAGTTTTTAACCAACCATACTGGTTAGCATATGGAAATTTATTTATTGATAAATTACTTTTCTTAAATATCATGTATAAAAATTTTTATCAAGCAATGCATTTATGTGCTTCATAAATTTGAAGAACAAAAACTGATATCCAGGGAAATCTCCCAGTCCTCCACCTGACCAGTTTCTGACACTCACCTACTTCCTTCCCCCCATGAAAATAAGTAACACTCATTATTCATCTCATAGCTAATTTTCCTCCTTTTGGAATGTTAAATGTCTACTCTTGAATTGGTGGAAGAAAGAAATCATTCATGTTTCCTTAACATTTTAAGCTGCAGTTTTCACAGTAGGACATCATAAGGGCTATCCACGCCCTCTTATAAGACTATACATACTTCGGTATTAGGTTTTTCTTTACCATTATCTCTTAAGAAATAAAAGACTTAGGCAGAATGGACTATATTGGTCCTTTCCTATACCAATTCTTCCAGTGAAGCATCACCATAAATGTACAACTTCATATTCATTCAATAATTATCTATTGCAGTGGTTGTCAAACTTGAGCATCCATCAGAATCATGGAAGGGCTTGTTAAGACAGAAATTGTTGATCTGCAACCCAAGATATTCTAATTCAGCATGACGGAGGCGCAGCTGGAGAACTTAGAGTTCTAGCAAGTTCCCGAGTGATGCTGACACTGCTGGTGTGGGGACATTTTTTGAGAGTCATTGATCTATGAATTGCTAAGGCAAGGCACTGTCAATAAATACACCTATGAAAATATAAGATACGATCTGTCCTCAAAGGACACACATACAGGGTAGAAATAAGAATGTGTAATGTCAAAAAACATAGGTGGGGGGGCATATTTAAAGTAAATTCTCTGGAGGAATTCCAGAGGAGTGGTCTGTGGCAAGCTGAATAAATGAATGGAGAGACAGGCTTACAACACTATGCTGTATTTATAAGAAAGTTTAGGTTTGATATACCATTAAAAGAAAAAAACATGAGGCTGACTACATCAAAAGGCTTTTCTCTATGTATGAAAAAAAACAGGAAACCACAGAGAACCGAAGAGACACACCACATCAGACGCCGTTTAGAAGAAACACACGTCAGGCTCTGATTAAGGTTAACAAAATGCTGCTGTTTTCAGAAAACAAGGAAAACTTCTGATAATGTTAGAAGGCCATTGATTTATGGCAAAGTGTAAATATGCAATTGTGTCCAGTTTCCTTACAGTTACTGCTAAAGTAGTACCTAAGAAGCACATTTGTCTTTTCTCAAGTTTCAAATACTCAACACATAAAGGACACAAACTCTAATATTCAAAATTTTTAAATATTGAAGAACTGCTGACTTAAGAATGGCCTATGTTTTAATTTTGTAACATTTCCAATAAGGAAATGTTAAGAGAAACTTGTCTTGTATATAAAGTACAAAAAGTAAATCAATGGGCCAGACACCTTTAAAAAGGTGCTACCATAAAAAAAACTATTCATCCCAATATTTAAGGTACATGCAGACCATAACTCCTTTCTACACCCAATGATTTCCTAGATAAAATTATTTTAAAAAGTATGAACTTCTAAAACTGTAGTCTAACATACCACTTTGGAACAATAATTTACAAAGCGCAAGCTACATTTCTGTGGTACTTGTGTAAATGACACTTGCTCACAGTTCACTTGTGATAAACCTAAAGTCCAAATAAACTTAAATAGGGCAGCAACAGGGATTAAGAAGAAGGGCATTATTTGGTGATGTAAGTTATGTACAAAATTTGCAAACAGATACCTTTCCTTTGATCAGCTGAATCAAACACCCACCATACAAAATGTGGGGGAGGAGGAGGGGTTCATGAGTGAAGAACGGAAACAGCATGCAATGACTTCTTAAAAAAATAAATTGCTCTGAAACTGTTGGACTAAGGATCTAACCTTTCCAAGGGGAACATCAAGTTACTGCCACCTTCTTTGCTGATGTGTATGGGGGGAGGGAAAAAAGAGAGGATAGCTTTTTCACACCTTTAATAAAACTGCAGCAACAACACAGAGTAGTGGTTTCTACTCTCTTTCCCTAGAGATGAAGCAGGTCAGAGAAGATATTAATGACAAATTGTTTTACAAATACGTACAAATCTCACTGTGCTAACAGAAATCTGGATATAGGAAAAGGGGAAGATAAAAAAGAAATGGAACAGAAAAGTTTCAAGCTCTCCCCAGTCCAGAAATATTTTCATCTGTCCTTTCGCCACTTTCAATTATAAATCACTCTAAGTACAAGTTGAATTAACTTCAAAATCTACTGAAAAGACTAGTGACTGTGAATCCACAAAGAATGGTATATGGGGCCAATGGTTAGTCAGGCACTTATAATAATAATAATGATTTCAGGATTTTTCAACTTAGAATAGGTGTAAGAATAACGGTTGCCATTTACTGATGGTATGCTCTCTTTGCCAGTCACGACACACTTTATATCTATTACCAGAGTTTGTCATGATAACTCTACAGATAATATACTTATCTTCATGATACAGATGGGAAAACTGAGGCTTAAAGAGGTTAAGTAATTTGCCTAAGAAAGACTTTAAATGTTCCAGGTAGTGTGGCAGGTTCAGAACCACTTGTAAATAAACTTGCAAACTTGTGCCATTTGCAAAAGCTATAGAAAAAGATGCGTGTTCCTTGGAAATCCCATGGGATGAATGAAGTTCCTTGGGAACAGGAACTGTTATCTTATTCACCTCAGTCCAAGATGAACAAGGTATGGTACTAAAATTTGTGTAATTAAACTGTGTTCAGGGAAGGCATGGGAGTGTTACATGGAAAAGTCTAGAAGTTTGTGCTCCACTCACTTTCTCCACTACACAGAACTCTTGAACACAAAAAGAGTAATAGTCTGTTCATATAATATCAGGACAGATAAGAACTTAACATAAGGCTACATTATAATTTTGTTGTTAGATAATAAGTCTTGGTCAGTTTATTAAGAAGAATAATTGTATTTTTTTAGACTTGAAAATAGAGTGAGTGGCCTTTCAGATAAAAACAGATACAGGGAGGGGCGCCTGGGTGGCTCAGTTGGTTAAGCGTTCAACTTCAGCTCAGGTCATGATCTCACGGTTTGTGAGTTCCAGCCCCACGTCGGGCTCTGTGCTGACAGCCCAGAGCCTGGAGCCTGCTTCAGATTCTGTGTCTCCCTCTCTCTATGCCGCTCCCTGTTCATGCTCTGTCTCTCTGTCTCTCAAAAGTGAATAAATATTTTTAAAAAATAAATAAAAAACAGATACAGGGAAACAAAACTGCAAAGGTGTCAATAGGTCAGCAACTGACAAGTCACTCAATCTTCCAGGCTTTCTCATTCTCAATGAAAGCTGAAAAATATATTAGATATTCTAACTTGAAAATCTTGCAGTTTAAAATAAAACAGTAAAAGGAATGGAAGACAAAAAAATGTTAGGAGATTGTAACAAAAAAAAGGCAAAACATTTTCATGACATCACAGATTCATAAAAGGATGTATGTTTTGTGTTTAACTCATATGAAAAAAATCCACATAATAAAGGTGTGACTGCAAACAAAGGGTAGGGTATTTGAAAAGTCATATACTTCTGGTGTGAATGAGAATTTATACAGCATTTCTAGAAGGCAATTTGTCAGTAAGTTTCAAAAGCTTATATTTTTTGAAAAATCTACTTCTGGGATTTTACCTAACAAAATTATGTTAAAAAACATATATATGTATGTATACACACACGTATATATATCTATATGTATATATATATTTATACACATATATACACAGTAGCACAAATATCTAACCATATGTCTCTTCAATCCAGTGTTGTTCATAATAGCAAAAAACTAAAGTAAATATGTTCAATAGTAATAATAGGACATATTATATCCAAAGATTATAATATCTTAACAAGGAATTAACAGTTGTACAAAAGAATATTGTCATGGAAAAGTGTCCATGACATATTTAATATGTTCTCTATGATCCAATGCTGAAATGAAAACTATCTAGAATGTTTGGAAAAATCAGTACATATTTTAACTGATAATAATAACTGGATCATGGTAGGAGTATGAGTGATTATTTTATTTTTCTCTGTAACCTATTAGAGCATATTAATACACTAAGAAATAAAAGATACACTAAAACTTTTAAAATAGATTATATAATCATAGAAGAATCAATTAGGAACAAGAATTTTAATAGTATTTGCCTGAAACATGGTTTTTATATGTGTATATATAGGTATACAAAAGAATTTACAGATTAAAGTATGAGAAGAAATAAGAGAAATCAACATAACTGTAAATATATGAATACAATATAACTATATAACTATAAATATGAACATAAAATTAACATACAAAAATCCATTGTATTTCTATAAATAAGCAATATATTGTTAGAAAAT